TCATGTATTGTGTTATATTATATTTCTGGAAAATTTAAGGGGTAGTTATATAATAATTTTGGACGATCTCGGGCGGTTGGATACTTATGACCGCTACTGTAAATAAAGTGTGCATAGTCCTTCATTCATAGAAAAATCAATTTCTTCTATACTAGTAAAAAATTTGTAATTATCAAACTTAAAATTTATCGCATCTGCTATAAATCCATTCTTCCAAATATTAGCAAGACATGCTTTTTCCACCATGAATCCCTTTACCGAAGGGTTATTCTTAAACTCCTTTATACATCAGACCCAACTTGAATTTTTGAATATGTCTATATTACCCTTTTAAAATAGGTAGTCAGCTATTTGATCCCATGCATATCCAAATATACAGTAACAGCGTTCATCATGAGCAATATAAAAGTAGCGGTGATCATAATCTTTAACTCCATAGCCAGAAGGAGCATAACCATTTGTCAAGCATGATGATATTAATTAGACGTGACTACGTAAATACAAAAGTTAGTTTTCGTATAACTTATTGATCACAAGAAAACTAACAATACATACAGATCCCATCTTTCACTTTTCGATATAATATCAGAAAAGTTTGTCATTGGCTTTTTTATCTTTTCTTTTAATAGTTGATTTAAGCAATTCTCAAAATTTTCCTTAATACCTAGAAGAAAGCTCAAAAGAGAGGATTTTTGCCAGTGTCATATTCGATTTTTTTCTTTTGTTCTTCATTCACTGATGGCAAATTTTTTCTATTCTGCATCCACCATTGTGACATCTCATCCTAAGTAAATATTACATTAATACGCAAACATTCAAGCACAGAGCATAGAGCATTTTTTTAGTCTTACCTCATCGAATCCTCCATAAAGTTTAATCTTTCTATCATTAGTTTGCTTTTGGATAAGATACAATGCTGATTCATTATTCGCTGATGAACTCTTAATACAATAATATTCTGGAGTCATTCTGTTGAGGACATCTAAAATTGTAGCCTTTTTTACTTCGACAATTTCAGTATTATTACGATAATCCAAAGCATTCATTTGGTCTACAATAAAATATAATAGTTCTGATGATTCACAGAATGCTACGATATCATCGGTTGTTTTACAGGTAGAAATTTTGATTATTTTCTCAATATTATCTATGTAGGTAAGAAATAAGGCTAACTTAATGTAATTTTCCAGTTTCTTGACCAATTCATGACTGTCAGGAAGGTATACTACACACTTTTCAGTTCAAAGAAGAAAGCATGCTATTGTTACAAAGATGTATGACTTTCCATACCTGATAGTGTCATAAATAAAGCAATCCATATAACTACGCCCACGTTTAAGTTCATTAATAGTATTTAGAACATTGACAAATGCCTTTCTTCCCATGTATATAAACTTATCATCATCATTAATGAAGAATCTCTCTACTGATTTTTGTTCGTCAAGGAATAGAAATGGCAATGGAAGGAACTTTTTAGGGTTTGAGTAAGCTTCAGGATTCTCTAGAAGTTCTATTATACTTTTCATGATTTTTTGACTACAAGTAAGAATTGTTTTCGAAACTATAATAATTATGTGTTAGATAAAATATTAATATTTCTGTTTCTATTCATCAAGACATTATAAACCCACCTGATAATTTCTCTTTTTTCGGTCTCAGACTTCATTACAATCATCTAAATTCAATTGTCTCTTCCTAATCAAATAAAGAAAATTATAATGTGAGATAACGCGAATTTCTTATTTGAGAGATAAACCATTAGGAGACACTTATCAGTGATGGTGGGCTATAACAGTTGGACAATAATGTGGATGATCTTTAGAGGTGGTTGTTGTTGACAGAAGTCTTTTGAAACATCATCTGATAGAATAAGCTTTTAGCCTTCGAGATCTCATTCAATATCAACTTCTTGAGATTGTTTATCAAGAATACTCAGCTTAGCTTCACTTTTATTAATAGGAATATAAACTTTTCACAATTTAAGATCATTCAGAGCGAAATCGTTCAATTGAGGTTTCTTCACCTCCTTAATAGCATTTTGAAGATGCAAAATATTTTTGATTTTATCGGTAATATCGACTACAAAATGGTTCTCTATAGCAGGAACTTCTTCTAAAATGAAACAAAATACTATGATATCAGTGGTATACCTGCAAACACAAAAATCAAGAGTTAAAATAGGGCTTAAACTAGATTTTTCAGTAAATACAAATAAAGACCTTGTTGGAGAATTATCTAGGGAACTATTTGACGGGCCTTTCATTCCATTTATTTTTATTGTTTAGTTTTCTGTTTACATAATTTCAGTGAACTTTTCGAAAAAAAATACTAAACGTACGAAAACTTAGCTAAAAACAGGTCTCATACGTCCTAAGCCTCAGATTGCATAATACGATCTTCATTAAATGTTACGATTGATTTTGTAACACAGTCAGCAGTAATATTAGTCTGCCTGTGCGATATAAGATTTTTTTCTTACTGCGACCACCGAAGCTTTGTATTATTTTCTTCGAGCCAACTCGTTAAAGTGAAACCGAAGTATTGCAGTTTGAAAGAGGCATTGGCGAATAGTTATTGAATAAGGTATACTTCTTTTTGGTGTGCATTTACGAGAAAACGACTTCAGGACTTGTAAGCAAATGTCATTTTTCATACAGACTTCTGAGAATCTTACTAGCATCACGAAATGCAAATAATATAAGTTTCAGTAAAGCATTTTGTTTTATCCAGAATATTGATGATTGGGATAATGAAACCGAACTATGATAGTGTAGACAAGCGAAAAACTACAGACATTAATATAGAAATGTCATTTCACTTTGTAAAACAAGTTTATGTATTACTGAATCTTGTAATTTATTTTTTATATCAATAAATCAATAATTCTGATGAGGATATTACCTCGTTTTCTATTTATGCTAATGAACTTTTGAATTATTCCATCTTATTGTCCAGAGCGAAGCATAGGACATTATACTTTTAGAAAATAGTGTAAAAATTTTATAATCACATAGGTATTTCTGTTTGTCACGCTGTGTATACAATAAGATCAGTAAATAAAAATAAAAATAAAAATTAATTTATTTATTTTAAATAAAAAATTTCGCTCTGGACTTAAAATGGTTACTATTTCCTAGTACTTTTACGAATTAATGATTACACACATAATTACATGAGGATTTCTATTTGTCACGCTGTGTAATTTGACGAATAAAATTAGTGTTTAACAAAATATAAAAAAAAATAAAAAATAAAAACAAAATATACCATTTCAGAATCTCCGTTTTATCACTTCGTATTATGACAGATGAGATCGATAATCAAAACGAATTGTATAAAAAAAAAAAATTTAAGCCTCCATTTCAAAAATTAGAAAAAGAATTTTTTTTCGAGCAGAACATTTTTTATACTGTTATAAACTACAATAGTAAGATTTTTAGCGTTAGTGTACTATTTAATGATAGTGATATTTTTTTAGTAATAGTTTTGTAATTTTGTATTTAGTAACATATATATACTATAACAAATAAGAATCATAATCTTTGAAATTTGAAATTTTATTCATGCTATTATCTGTATCATGTGTTTATAAGCTTTATAAGCTTTAGAGCTCAATTTCTGGGTATTATGGAAACCAATTGTTCTTCTTTGTCTTTCCTTTTCCCTAATCTTTTGCAGTTTTTAATGCGTTGTATTCTTTCAAAATTGAATAGTTTAAAGAGAATATCTCTGAGAATGAACCTGAGACACCACCACAAAGGAGAGGCCAACTGTAAATTCTTCGCTGCCAAGATCTATCACAGCCTTTTGTAATGTCAATTCCTGGCTTTTATGTATCATAATTGCCCATGTGAAATGAATAGGAATCTGTAAACTTGAGCATAATATTCTGGAATTACCCTCTCAAATACGTTGTATAGGCACAATTGGAACTACTCTTATGTCTTCTTAGCTAGTAATGATAAGACCTTTGTAGTTATCAAAAGGAATGAAAACTGTTACAGGAAGAGAAGGTGGTCCCTGGTCTTCTCTAAATAGCAAGTCCTGAACAGTTCCCATTGCACCATTAACTAATCCAGCTGCTACCCATAAGTTTGTTATCAACATAATGTGTGAACCTTTCACCAGTAATATCTTTACCTCAAGACTATGTGCAACGTCAGTGTTAGCTTTTTTTGCTTCGCTACCACCTGTATGTATAACGAGAATCTTGGCAATAAAAGCATACTTATATAAAATAGAATAGAACACTAATTTAAAAAATATACCAATCAATAAAACAAACTGTAAAATAATAACTTTATTATATATATAAAATAGAATAGAAAGAATAGTAAATATACTTAATAAAATAAGCTATAAAATAATGAAAATATATATATTATGAAATAAACTATAGAACAATGACTTTAATTACAGAAGTTAAATTTATTGTAAAAATATATCAATAAAATAATAAAATATGTATATATGAAGTAAATTTATCAATCAATTATAACACAATATACAAATCTGTGCTTTGAACTTTAAATGGTTTCCGTTTTCTAGTATAAAAAATTATTATTAAACATGCAATCCATTGATTCATTGAAAGAATTAAATTCCAAGCTCTTAGCTGAGATTGCAGAGCTTAGGAAGGAGAATGCTGAGATTCCCGAACTTAAAGAGAAATTACTAAAGTTTGCTGAGGTTAAGGCTGAGAATGCAAAGTTGAGGCAGATTATTGAGGAGAATGCAAAGCGCAATGTTGAGAATGTCAAACATAAGATCAGAATCGAGGAATTGGAAAAAAATAGTGCAGATATTTCAATCAAGAATGCTAAGCTTAAAGCTGAACTAGTTAAACTAAAACATGATTTTGATTCCTCTAATCTCACGAGGCCTCAGCAATCACAGCATTCATGCTCTGTTAGAGAAGAAGAAATATCAAAGGTAACAACTGTATCACAGCCGGATGCTGAGTCTGAAAGCCACTTTGCTTCTGATCCTGTAATAGATCAACTCATAAATGAAGCAACTAGTGATAATATAAACATCAAATCAATGGAGAAAAGGGAGACAGACGCTTTCTTAGATGAAGTAACGAAGGACAAAAAATCTCAATCACATAAGAAGAAGGAAGCAGAAAATGTTATACAAGATGTGTTTGATTTCACAGCCACTTCAGCACCTGAGAAAAATCATATGACTGAAATTTCCATGACGGAAAATTCACTTCCCGTCACTGAAAATACCAATGAGAAAAATTCCATAGTTATACTATCTGTAGTGAAAAGCAAACCATTACTAAATTTAGCCTGTTTATATCAGAAAGCTTGCGATGCAGAAAAGCAAAGAATTAAGGTCAATCAATAATCAAGTAAAAAATGTTATGAAAATTAATCGAATTGGTTAGAAAAAAGTGAAAGAACAAATCTATGATTTTATTATTGCACAACTCAGTACTAAACGTAACACATTACTAAAATAAACTCAAAGAGCAAGAAGCATATACAAATTATTTGAGAAAATAGGGATTGATAAAATCAGGTATATCACAATGTATAATGTGAATTCTATATTAGAATTATCTGATAGTCAAATTCAAATTATTGTTGATTATTTCTCCAAGAATCCCAACACTGAATTATCCAATGATCAAGAAAGCTCTATTATTAATTCTGAAGAGGAGATTTTGGATGACCAGAAAAATGCATTGGAGGCAGTTTCAGTAACGCAAGCTGAAGTAAGCGATTCAACCTTACCTATTCCTATATCTTATGACTTTAATTCTTCATGCCCTATTAATGCAGATGATGGCAACCCCAATTCAATCAATGATGACTCTGATTCTAAAGAAGAAATGCATTAAAGGGATAAATCAAATGATGATGATTATGATAAATACGGTAGATATAATAAATATGATGAACGTGATAGAGGTTATTACTATTATGACGGAAGATATGAAAAAAAAACTTCTCCAATAATGAGTCTTATTATCTCACTGGTAACTGCTTAGGTGGAATCACATATTCATATAGACTGAATTATCGCATATATTTTTTGAATCACATGAGTGGCTTATACAAAGTAAAATTGATCACTTAAAATGCGTAGAAGATATTCGGTAAAATTCTTGCCGAAGAATAGGGGCTGAAGTCAATTATTTTTCTTGTGTAAGAGGTGGATTGGTATGAATTCCTCTGGAATCTACATACTAATTTTTTATTTAATACAGGGTAATTTAGAAAATTTGGATCAGCTAATTATTAGGCAATATGATTTCTAGTGAAGATCTAGAGACTTTCATGTTTTGCAACGATCGTTGCTATTAACTGCGGAGAAATTTTATTTATAAAAATGCTGGGTGAAGCGTCTGGTAAGAGAATCAAAAATTTTAATATTATAATTTTGCAAAACGCATAATTCAATTAATCATTAAATGCTCTCAAATTCTGACATTATTTTGATCGTATTATTCACAATTGTGATTGTATTCTATGAAATAATATTCTGAGGTTTATTAAGCATAGAGACACTTAAAATCATTTTTTTTGGAAAATATAAACATATATATTATTCTTGCAGTAGCATTCATCTATTTTCGTAATAATCAGACGAGTAGAGGTCAAAGAAATGATGATCTAAAAAGATCGATTCTGGCCTTAAATAACGAACTTCAGAAAATGCGTACTGAGAATAAATGGAGGAATGAGACTGTTTCGCAAGGTAAGATTCTATGTGTTTGATTCTTCAGAACACATTCATTTTGTGATCTATTAACCATGATCTAGTCTGCATTTTATTTTACCTAACCAGCTCCAACCCTTCCACAAGTCATGTATCTCAATATTCTGAATATACAGATGAAATACAAATGTATTAGGTCGAATTCACAGCTATATTTGATGAAAAAAGAAAAAGAAAGAAACACTTTCCTACATAGATGTATAATATACTATCTCAAAAAATTAAACTTAGTCCTATCACATTAGCCAGCTTTTATCATCATTAGAAAACCCTGAGAATCACATCAATGGATAAAATAATTCTATGAGTCGAAAGGGAGGGAAAAAGGAGAGTTAGCTTTGCAAATAATAATAGTAGTAGCAGTAGCAGTAGTAATGGTAGTGAGATAATGATGTGAATTAAAATGATGCTGGGACTCTCATTTATGGCTTAGGATCTGAGAACTCCCTCTCTCTTTGATAGCATCATTTATTTTAATCATTACATTCCTCTGGTCTTTCGATCTATTATCTTTTATTCACTTTTTTTGCTTAACAGATTGGTCATATTACATAATGACAAATAAAGATTTTACTTTGAATTTTTAAACATATGTGTAGATCTCACTTTATTTTAAAAACTGTTTCTTAAACATAAGCAATAAAATAAAATTATTTCTTTTCCAAAAAAGTGATATTTAAATTTCTGCTCAAGCAATCATACAATCCTTCAATATTGGCTTTGACTTGTATCAATATCAGAGTGGATTTTTTTTAAAATTCCTCCAACAATTAATGAAAAAACTCTAATTATCTTCTGATTCACCGCCATAATTAATAGTAATATTGATTATGTTAGCATTTTGTGAAAAAGAAGAAATTGTTGGGATTATGGGTCTAGAGGTATTAGGTGTTTCGACAGTTGATGGATTTGATGTTGTGAGTGATGGTAATTTAGAGGGTCCTTGACAGCCTTTTCAGATGGTTATTGCTCAGAATTTGATTTTCTTTTAGGCCGTTTAGGTGAGATTGAAGAGCATAATACCTCAGAAGAATTCGTATTACTTGACTTAACATTTTCATTACATACTTGCTCGAATGAAAGTTCTAGTGAATGGTGATAAATAGAATCATGTTAATTTGCTATTAAGGCACTTCGCAGAGATAATTACCAACTTATTTTCTACAGAAACATACCTGGTTTTAACTAGAACATCATTGAGAACTCTTCATAAATTTCTTTACTAACTAAACTTCTTTTCATTTCAGTACCTTCTTTATATTTTTTCACTATTTAAATTAATAATATGCATTATTGACTGGTCAGATCTCTATAGAAGACAAGCAGGACACTACTTACATAAAAAGCTTTTGTAAGATCTAAGAATTTTTTATAGCAGGCGTCACCAGTAAAGTAATTAGTATTTTTTTGATCATTTATTTTTTTTGCAATCTTGTTCCAAAAGAGATACTTCTTTTTATTTGTAGTAGTGTGATACTTCACATTTCTATTTTTTCATTTATCAATGAGAATGCAAAGCTAAGCATTAGAGAACTCCATAGTTAACTACATAGTGAAAATATTCTCTAGAACTATTATATAAAAAAAAATATCGAGTGATGTATTAAGATCATTGCGAGGCAAATTAATCGATCAATATAATGATTAATCAAATAATAACGGTGGCTTAGCTATCATGTCAATAGATTAAAGATGGTAAAATCTGATTGGCTGATCATCTCGTGATTTATAGATATTTGTCAGCACCTGAAATACTCTTAGAACTATTAAGAAACTGGCAGGAAGCTCGCATGTGATACATCCCTTTGTTCATAGAACTTCAGGGTAATGAAATTCAAGCTTTTCTTCTGAAGATCTTTGATTGAAAGAGGCTGAATCAAAAAAATCTGAATAAAAATGAATTTGATATTTATTAGAGTATAATATTGATAAATCAGCTAAAATCGATAAAAATACTATAAGTTAATAAATTGTTATAATTTGCTTCAATTCACTATAATTCACTAAATTACTAATTTATTAATTATACCCAGTGCAATGGTTAAGAACATATTAGATAAGATTTATAATAAAATAAAACTATACTTAAATCTATCAATCTCTGTCCTGGATATGATATGAAACATGTTTTTAATTATCGATCTCAAACTGATAACTATCGGTATGAAAAGTGGTTGAAATACAATTATTTATCCATTATTAGACCTTATGAAACACCTCAGCAATGGGCTGTTTGTATAAGAGCTCCTTTACAAGAACTACTTTCTAAGCGAAAATATAGTTTATGCTATGTGTACTGTCTTTTCAGTTTATTTGAACAAGTAGAATTCAAAATATACTATATTAATATGAAGATCACTTCTAATATTATAGATCTAGTATCCATAAAAGTCAAATGGCTATTTACTTTAAATGCTGAAAATTGGTGAAGATTACTGAAGTAGAACCTAGAAAGGAATATTATCCCTTAAACTGTAAAGGTTCGCAGGCAAATTTGCCTGCTTATTTACCATAAATTCCCTTCTGATTTACTTTTATGAAAAATTAAAATTTTTAAAATTTTTT